AGGGCAGCGCGCGGAGATGGCGGCCTCGGCGGCGGCAGCGGGAGAAGGCATGGGGCCGCGGGCGCTGCAGTACGAGCAGACCCTGGTAAGTGCAGCCGAGACGTGCACCCGGCCCGCAGCTCCGCCTCACCACAGTAGGCGCAAGGGCTGGGAGCCTCCCCATCCCCGCCTCAGCCTTCCAAACTGGGGTAGCTGAGCCTCGGGAGTCCGACAGGCTGCAGCGCCAAGGGGTTGAAAAGCTGCTTGCAGGTTTCCAGCTGAAGCTGGGGCCTGCGAAGGACACTGAAACCGGGTGCTGTCGCCCCTTCCCTTCCCCTCAGTCACTCCCTGCGTACACGCTTTTTTGCTCCTCCTCCCACTACCTGAGCTCAAGTCTCAGCGCCCTGCTCCCCTGCCCCAGCTCCATTCACACCCGTGAACTTTCTCCGCTCTGCCGTCTCCATATCCCATATTCCCAGTGTTTCGGCCATGGACACAGCTTGTGCCGGGCACAGAATCAGGAGCAAGTAGGCAATGATCAGAACCCAGCCCCAGCTCCTGCCTCAGTGAACCCTGCCGGCTCAGACCACTGGCCACCTTGGGCAACAGGAGCTTTAGGGAGGATGGTGGAAGCAGAACTGGGTGTGGGGTTGGGACCTTTGTCCACGCTGGCTCTGGGTACGCAACTCCCACCCACCCCAGGTTGTCCCTTGACCTCATTAGGAGCAGGGGTCCTGGGTCCTGAGCTGACTCATGGCCACCCTGTTACTTAATATTTGAGAAGCTGTTTGATCCTTCTTGTGTCACTGGGGTGGGGGACCCAAGGCCTAGGGAAAGCAGTGGACCCTGTGACTCCTTTTTATCAGCTTGGCTGGAATTTGCCCAGGAAGGTGGCAGGGAGGGAACCTCTCCAGGAGAAGAGGGCCTGGGCTGTAACCCAGTAGGGGAGGTGCCCAAGTGTCCAATCCCAAAGTGTGATTGGAGGGGTGGGATGACTGGGAGCCGTGGCAGCCTCCATCTCCTTCCCACAGACCTCCGGATGAGCTGCCAGGGTCAGGCCCTCTCCCTGGGCCCTCTGCCCCTGTGCTCTTTGTTTTCCTGTCACCTCCTGTCCCATACTGTTTCTGTATGCCCTGCTCCTTTCTTCCTCTCTGCTGCGTCTCCTCTCATCTTTCCCTCCTTCTTCTCTTTCCTCCTCTCTAGTTCCTCTCTCCACTTCTCTCTTGTCTCTTGCTCTCTCTGTGTCTCTATCTGTCCCTCCCCCCCCAGCCCAGCCCCAACAGGGGCCCTTTGTGTCCCGAAGCTCTGCGGGTGGTGGCGGAATCTACTCCTCCCCACCCCCCAACACACACCCAGCTTGGCAGGTCTGGCCACAGGGCCTGGGCTCTGTCCCTTCACCCCAGCATCAGTTGCAGCCTTGCCATATGCAGCCTCTGGTGTCCCCCGGTCTGCCGCTTCAGAGCAAGGGCTACCTTTCCACTGCAGCTGGCTGGCAGGCTGGGGGGTGGGAGGAAATGAGGACAAGGGGATTAGGGTGGGTGGCAGGGGTACAGCAGAGTTGGTCACAGGCCAGAGGCCCAGCAGGAACGTGATAAGGATTGGGGCCGCGCCTGCTCCGAGGCCCAACTCTGCTGCCCTCAGCTCCACCAGGCTCTTATTGTGCCCGCCCGCCCTTGACCATCCCTTATTTGACCTTCCCTCCCACTTTTCAGCTGTGCTTAGGTCCTTCCATCTTCTCCTCCTCTGGGGTTTTTCCCGCCCATTCCTCCTCAGTGTCCTCCTCCCCTTGAGACTGGGAGAAGAGAACCAATTATTCCGCCGCCCCCAGAGCTATGTCCCATACCTCAGCTATCCCCATCACTGGCCAGGACGGCCCCCACAGTATGCAATGTGCATTGTTCCCACACTGAAAGCCAGAGTGGGAACTGTGGGTTCCTGGGGTCTACAAATTGGGGGCTGAGAAAAGGGGACTCCAGGCCCCAGGAGCCCGTCACACACACACATATTCACTAATGACCCCACTGCCCCTTTGCTCCAGATGTATGGCCGCTATACTCAGGAACTTGGGGCCTTTGCCAAAGAGGAAGCTGCTCGGATTCGTCTGGGAGGGCCTGAGCCCTGGAAGGGGCCCCCCTCCCCTCGGGCACCCCCAGAGCTCTTGGAATATGGACAGAGTCGTTGTGCTCCATGCCGCAGTGAGACCTGGGTCGGCACTGGGCTGGGGGGCATGGCTGGGTGGGCGCCCTTGGGTGCCAGCCTCCTCCTTCATCTTCCCTGCCCCCAGTCTGCTCTGTGCGCTGCCACAAATTCCTAGTGTCCAGAGTTGGCGAAGACTGGATCTTCCTGGTCCTGCTGGGGCTCCTCATGGCGTTGGTCAGCTGGGCCATGGACTATGCCATTGCTGTCTGTCTGCAGGGTGAGGGCTTGCACTGTCTGGGGCAGGGCTGGGGACAACCAACTGGTTTCCTCTGTGCCTCAGCCACTGAGGTGTCTTGGCTGCTTGGTCACCATCCCCTTCCCCTGCCAGTCTGACTGCCCATCTTCAGATACAATCACTGCCATTCCCAAAGGCCACAGCATCCACCCTCCTCCTTACCCTCTCAACCACAGTGGGCTTGGCCCTTCTAGGCCCCCTTCCCCTCCACCTGCCTGGACTCTGGGCCATGTTCCCAGTAACCACTAGGCATATCAGGCTGCCCTGTGGCCAGGCAGGGAGCGGCTATGTGCGTCGAGGGCCCAGCACGATGTCATCTTCCCACAGCTCAGCAGTGGATGTCTCAGGGCTTGAACACTAACATCTTGCTCCAGTACCTGGCCTGGGTCACCTACCCTGTGGTCCTTATCACTTTCTCAGCTGGATTCACACAGATCCTGGCCCCTCAGGCTGTGGGTATGACAGGAGCAAGGGAGGGCAGCAAGTGGCTGGGCCTCCTCCACAGAGTCCATCCAGTGACTCTCCGGCCATTGCCCCATTCCAGGGTCTGGCATCCCCGAAATGAAGACCATCTTGCGGGGAGTGGTGCTAAAAGAATACCTCACCCTCAAGACCTTCGTGGCTAAGGTCATTGGGCTGACCTGTGCACTGGGCAGTGGCATGCCCTTGGGCAAAGAGGTAACTGGGCTGGGGGAGTGGCGGGTGCCTCCCAGTGGGGAGAAGAGGCCAGGCCAAGGTCAAGGCCAGGCCCTGGCTCTGTTCACCGGCCCCCATCCGCCAGGGCCCTTTCGTGCATATCGCAAGCATGTGTGCCTCCCTCCTGAGCAAGTTCCTCTCCCTCTTTGGGGGGATCTACGAGGTAAGGGGAACCTGGGGGAGGGGAGGGAGCCCCCCGGGCTGCTGAGCCCAGGCCTTCATTGCTACCACCCCTCTCTACCAGAACGAATCCCGGAACACAGAGATGCTGGCCGCTGCCTGCGCCGTGGGAGTGGGCTGCTGCTTTGCAGCACCCATTGGAGGTAGGCAGGGCTCTAGTGGGCACAGTGCCCAGCCTGGGCCCTGTCCTTGGCCTCTCTTCTGCCACCCTGGCCTCTGCATCTCAGGTGGTGCTGTGCTCTCGCCTGGCCCCTCATAGGCGTCCTGTTCAGCATCGAGGTCACCTCCACTTTCTTCGCGGTGCGGAACTACTGGCGGGGCTTCTTCGCTGCCACCTTCAGTGCCTTCATCTTCCGGGTCCTGGCTGTCTGGAACCGGGATGAAGGTGGGATGCGCCTGAGAGATGAGGACACCTGAAGAGGGCCCGGAGAGGGACCTATAAGGCTGATGTGCGTCCCTGCTACTCTT